TATATCATGAACGCACGGCTATGGCTTAACGCGCATGCATGTCGATTTTAACATTTAATCTTAATAAACATGATATTCTCGGGCAAAAGCCGACGGGAACTTACCTCTTATAAAACTCAAGAGGTTAAACGACTCGGAACCGTGCTCTCGACCGTGAAGAACTCCGCGTGTGTTGCGTGTGTTGTGTTGCGTGCGCGTACTCGCTGCTCGCGTACGGGAGTTACTTGCGTGCGGTACGCCGGACTGCTGCTCGCGTACGGTGGATGGCTCTCGGTAATTCTCGCGAATCACACTCGAAGGAAATGCACAACTCTCACTCGCTCTATATCACTAACTCTCGGCACTTAGCGAATGAAATGGAGTAAAAATGAGACCACTCTCCCATGCCTTGCTTAAAAACCGAATATGGCGGAGAAAATGAAGGGAAGGATAATTGTCTCATTCACACGGAAGCCAAGACAAAAGAGCAAGAAAGATGCTCGGTCAAAACCCATAACATGCACGCATTTGAGACAAAATGCACGAGCTCACATGCACAAAAATACAAGAAGGAGTGCACGGATACCCATGAAAATGTTGGGAGGATCTTGCACGAAAAAATGGGGATACTCGGATTCTCCGCCCACTAGCACTTGCGCGGCAATCATGGACAATGGGGAGGATTTCTCGGACCGAACTCACCCACATGGCAAGGGCACATGAGGCACACGACAACAAGACATGCACGGTCTTCACGACTTGATGTTGGCACGGATTCTCTCGGACGAACACGCGCGCACGGTCTTCTTGGGCATGGATCCTCGTCCAAACGCACGAACACACACACACACGGCACTCACACATGAATATGGACCGAGCACTAACATAAAGCATGAGCATGAATACGCACGGCTATGGCTCGGAATAAAATCCGAACAATATAGCTAATCTCGTGATTAAGTTAAATTAATCACTTAATTATGTTTAATTATCCAATTAAACATAATGCTTAATTACCAAAATTATTTCGAACGTAAACGGTACGTCGAAAATATTTTCCGGTAATTCTGACTGAAATAACTGAAAATAATTAATTCCGAAAAAATAATATCGGAACTGAAATATTATTATACTGATAAAAAGTCGGGATATTACACAGAGGGAAGTTTGTGCTATTTTTCCTGGGATTCAAGTTCAGAGATCCTCTAGGTATCTGGGCATGCATCTGGGGATAGGTAAATTGAAGAAAGAGGTCTTTGGCTTTGTGACAGAGGCAGTAAGGAAAAGGGTAATCAGCTGGAAGAACAAATTTCTTTCTGCAGCAGGGAAGGAAGTTCTCATTAAGTTTGTGCTCAATGCTCTCCCACTGTTTGTGATGTCCTGCTACAGGATTCCAGTGAGCATTTGCAAGGAGGTTGCTAGTATATTTACACAATTCTGGTGGAGCAGGGGTGGAGAACATAGCAGAGGGGTTCACTAGAAGAGATGGGAGCTACTTACCTTGTCCAAAGATATGGGGGGTCTGGGGTTCAAAGAGGTTGGGTTATTCAATGATGCCATGCTAGTAAAGCAACTCTGGAGAGTGATCACACAACCTCAGCTAATGATGAGCAAAATTCTAAAGTGCAGGTATTTTCCAAAAGCATCAATCTTTGAAGCTAATAGTCCTCAAAACTCCTCATGGCTCTGGAGATCCTGGTGTAATGTGAGATGGCTGCTGAGAGAGGGATTACAGATAGAAGTGAGAAATAGAGTGTAATACCCAGTTTTATTGTGGATTTTTTGGGAGTAATTATTGATTATTGCTATTATTAAATTGTCTTTATTTATTATTATTATCATATTTATTATTATTAAAATTGCTATTAACTGTCAAATTGTTATTATTTATTTATTATTAGTAATATTTCTATTATTAATATTAATTGTCTAAATAATATTAATTGTTAAATTGTAACTATTTGTCTAAATGCATATTTTTAATACTAATATTATTATTTTAAAAATATTATGTGTATTATATATGTATATATTAATATTCTATTATCGTCCGATTACATCGAGCCCGAGAGGACCTTGGCATCCGGCCCAAATAACCGAACCCGCACCCAGTCGTGGCCCATTACCCTTCAATGACTCGCTCAACTTTTCTTTTGTGTTGAGGGGATAACTTCGCAAAATTTTCAAGACGCCCCGTATCTCACTTTCTCGCAGATTTTTGGCAACAACGGGAGAATTTCTCCCATATTTTTCGATTAGTTGCAACAGATTATATCCGTCGACCTATAAGATCGATCGAAGCCCTCATATCTCACCTCATCTCCTTCGGCCTATCTCTTTCCCTTTCCCAAAAATTAGGCATCTTTGATTTTCCCTCAATGGCCATCGCGA